GAGAGAGAGAGAGAGAGAGAGAGAGAGAGAGAGAGAGAGAGAGACTGACAGATAGACAGACAAAAAAAGTTTTTGGGACTGCTATTTGGGCTCTCTTTCGTACATGTTTGCTGGCAACTCTCCTATCCTGCTAACAGTTGGAATAAGTTTTTAAAAAGCAAGTTTTAAAGAAAAATAACTGCGCGTATTTCGATAATATAATATTTTAATGTCTTCACATTTGAGAAAAACGGGACTACTAAAGAAATTTTGCGTCAGTCAATGTACGGAATACTTCTTGTTCTTTTTCTCGATCGCATCACAGTTGAAGTCTGGTATCTGTCATAAATTGGGCCGTCCTGCTCAGTTCATCAGCTGTCGGCCCATATAGCTTCTCTTGTAGTGTCAGTGGGGTAGGCCACGTTTTCTGTCTCATGGCCCTGTGTGTCTTGCAGGGCTGAAGGATGTGTTCAACAGTTTGGTCCGACTCTCCACACTGGCATTTTGGTGATTGCACTAGTTTAAAACATCTGTACATATGTTGTCTCAGTCGTGTGTGTTGTGTCCTTAGTCTGAAGATAATCACTTGTGTACGGAATAATATTGGAAGAGTAAAACGACATTCTATCATCCAAGACGACCCGCCCACCAGTCTGCTAGTTTTTAGTTTTAGTAGACGTTTTACGGCACTTGCAACACAATAAGGTAATATAAGTGCCGAAGATTAGAGGTGTTACAAGAGAGTAACAAACGTAAAAAAGAAGGAGGGGAGATAAGGACGATAGACGTTTGACAGGAAAGAAGAAGCAAACCACACCAGAGCACCCGCCAACCAACCACAGTCTGCTAAATATAATAATGTGTTTGTGATGCTGTCAATAATAATCTGTTAAATGCTTTTTCAACTTGGAAGCACATGTGTCACTTTTCCCATAAAACTGCGACAGCTACAGAGTTGAAAGTTGGCAAGTACCTGCAAAAAGATAGATAGGTCCCCATGAGGGAGCCCGATTATTTATTTATTCATTTCCTGAATTTAGAAAAATATATTTGACAATAAGTTCCCGTCCTTCTTTTGGCCTTTGTGATTATTCCACAGAAAAACGAAACAAATTTGAGGAATATAATAATGTTTGTCCACACCTTTTTTCGTCGAGTTCTCAATAGCGCAATTGTGAGCACGCTTTCGTTTGGGCACCACAAGTAGCGTCTATAATCCAAAGAACCAAGGCTATGAGCTACAGATTAGAAATAGGCCGTGGGTGGTTCGGGTGCTCTGGTGTAGTTTGCTTCTTGTTTCCTAATAAACGTCTGTCGCCTTTATCTCCCCCCCTTCTCTGTTGTGTTTGCTACTCTCTTGTAACACCTGTAACCTTCGGCACTTATATGACCTTATTGTGTTGCAAATGCCGTAAAACTCTTACTAAAACTAAGAAATAGGCCAAGAAAAACTAAGAATGTTCGACGCTCCGACACATTGACTTTTTAAAAGATCAAATTTGATCGGAAATTACCACATCTCTCTTCCCTTAGCTAGATATCTATACATCTATTTTTAAAAAAAATGAAACAGAAATCACATAGAGATGAGAAATTCATTTTTCAACAAAACAAGATTTTGACAGATAGGGGCTTACTTGGTTGTTGTTTTTCAATGTTCACCCCGTTACATGTACAAGCGACACACCCACGTAAGTGCTAAACAGATAATTGAGCATCATGTTTAAACGCTGCACGGATTTAGGTTGAACTCTGCCGAGGCAGTAAGTGTTCCTGTGATAAGAGCTTTCTCTCTGTACTCGCTTCTGTTGTGAAATAATTGGAGGGAGGAAATTATCACCATTATGTAGAGCGGGATCTCCGAAAATAGCTGCACAAGCAATATATTGTACATTATACATGCACCACTGCATGCAGTGTAGATGTGGGCAAAATCCGGATAAATACCCGAATAAATGGATAATCCTCAATAAAACATTATCCGAATTCAGACTCTTAACTCTTTTTCCTGACCCGTTTGCCGAAGTGGGAGCACCCATTAATTGTCGAAGTGGTTCTAACCCATTTACCGAAGCGGTTCTTAACATTATTTAACGAAGAGGTGCACTGACATATTAACCGGATTTTGCTGAAGCGACTCATTGCCCAGCACTAAATTGCAGTGCCCACAACACGAGATTGAGAAAAACGCTTTAACTTTACCTCTATGTGGGCGTAGCTAGCAGGCAATCAGCAGCCAGCAGACTAAAAGGTATGTTGCGGCACATTTTGAGCCATCACTCACAAGAGAGTGACCCAAATTGTTGTATTTTACATTACTCATGTTGCTGCCTGCTTTTTTATATTTTGGGCAAAGGAAACAGAATGGAGAAAAATCTGTTTAACGCTATCCGATGTCGTGTTTTACTATCGTATCCATACGACGTGGGGGACTCTGTGTCACCTCTTTTCAAAGAGGAAATTTACTCGTTAATCCGTTCCGTACGCTTTCCATAGTAGTCTGTCAAAATTATTTTTTGAAAAATACTGAAAGTTTCCAAGAGATCTTGGAACTAGAAATATTGTAAAATGCGAAGAATACAACCCCTGAGGTACAAAATGACACCAGGGCGTACAGATAGGGATAAGTAACGAAGTTATGCTTCTTGTTGAAAGTTTCCTCAAAACAGTGTGTCTTTACTTTAAGAGTTATGTGTCCTTAATGTGTTATATGCAAGCAATCACCCCTGCTTTAGTTTTAGAAGAGCTTTATGGCACTTGCAATACATTTAGGTCATGTATGTGCCGAAGATTAGAGGCGTTACAAGAGAGTAATAAACACACGCACACACACACACACACACACACACACACACACACACACACACACACACACACACACACACACACACAA